CGGGCGTGGACTGGCCGGGGCTTGATAGAGGTGGGTTGTCGATATCCATGGTGATGGATTAATGTGAGATATAAATGTGCAGTATTGAAAAAAGGCGCGTTGGTCAATGTCCTCGAATGGAGGCGGTGGATCTGGTAGTGAGTGTAATGGGACGCGCTCCGTGCAACGCGCGGTGGTACCGAGCAACCGAAACGGGTGGGCGTAATACGTTCAAGTTGACAGTGTAAAATAACTGCGACAGGCGCACCGCTGGCCGAAGTTGAACGGAGCTCAATCAAAGCACACGGAAATGTCCAGCGACAGAGTGGGGGAAGATTGAAAGGAGACGCGACTCGTGCCTTGACGCCTGATTGACCGCCTGATTTATGGGGCCGAAATAGGTGCCTTATAATTGGTGCCTTGTATATTAGGTGTCTGTTTAGACCTCGTCTGATGCTATTTCCGTGAGAGTCCGACTAACTTACGTGCTTCATGCATACATGCAGCAGCAGCCTTGGAAGCCTTGCTGTGACTATCATTACCAAGCACATCTTCTTCACCGCGCTACGTTGGTCGTTAAATAATTGATGACCGTGTTTCCTTGAGCCCAGAACTATCTAACTTATCTTCCCAATGAATCGGAACCTAGATACTGTAGATGTGTAATATCTTTGTCGAATTTAGCATCTAGGAGCCTCAGGGCCTTGAATCTGATAAAACCTCTAGCACAGAAAGAGCTCTCTATATGCGCAGGCCAACTCATATTCCAGCGGGGAATACTCCGCCTATACCGGAAAAGAGAAGTCCCATCCCACATGCATGAAACATGACGTGTATTGCAGCTGCATAGACCTGCGTCACGTACATCTACTGTCGATGTTAATGGCGTGCTGAGTCCAGAGTCATGTGGTCATTCTATTCCGACTCAATGTATATCCCCTGTATCCCCTGGAGCCTAGACTATTATTATACAAACGCAGATCAAATGACATACAACGCTGCGCCAAGAAGTAACCCGCCGGACCTAGTGGAAATGCGGAGATATTCTTTGTCATAGAAACATCTACAGCCTTTCATTCTGGGTTGTGTCTATGCGAGTACCAATGATCCTCGACTATCCACCGTCTAATTCTTCAGTATTGGGGTCACAAGCCCCCGCTCGAAGCGGTGACTAAGATGTCACCGCTGCCGCCAAGTACCCGCGCAGATTCCGGGGTAAATCTGTTTTTCAACAACCATTGGCACTGCTACTTATAACATTCCTCTTGGTTCCCCTCTTATACCAATTCTACAGAGTACAAAATCCCTCATGCCTGGCCGTCTAGCTCAACCAACCACCATGCGACAACCAGCAGCTCCCATTCCTTCGCCCTTCCAATCCTCCATTGCGAAGCCAGGCCAAGGGAAAGTCGTCCTCTCCCTTCTCCCACCAGCAAACCCAACCCTCACGACCCTCACATACAAATACCCATTGAAGCTCGTCCCCCGAACCGGCGGCTTCGTTCCAAGCCCCGAATCCTCCGCCCTCTCCGACTCATGTCCCTCACACCCAGTACACCTCTACCTCCTAACCTACGGCGGCGGCCTGCTGCCAGGTGACCACATCGAAGTCTCCATCACCCTAGAACCCAAGACCCGCATGGTAGTCACAACCCCGCAGGGCAGCACGAAGATCTTCAAGACAGACCCAAACAACAGCGCAAATAGCCCCAATGTCATCAAGGGCCACCGCAAGCAAATGCCCGCAAACCCCAGTATCTCCGACATGAGCCAGCAAACCCTCGACGTGCACATCGGCCGCCAAGCTGCCCTCTGCTACCTCCCCGACCCCTCAGTCCCCTTCCAACACAGCCGCTACGCCCAAATCCAAACCTTCACCGTCGACGCCACGGCAAAGGGCGACCAGCGGAGTAGTCTATGTGTCCTAGACTGGGTGACGCAAGGCCGGACATCCCGCGGTGAAAACTGGAACTTCCGCTTCTGGCGCGGCCGCAATGAAGTCTGGGCTGCAGATGAGAAAACGGGCAAGAGCAGGCTCTTGCTCCGTGACTCGGTTATTCTCGATGATGAATCCGAGGATACCAGCGACGAGGAGGACGAGTATTCGGAAGATGAAGTCGAGCGTACAGATGTCAATATCCATAACGGGCTTGATAATCATTCGAACTCCAACTCCAACTCCAACTCCAATTCCAATTCCATCACCTCCAGTCGTCCTCAACCACCACAGAATGGCTTAACGCCCATGAACATCATTCAAGAACGGACTCGGCCTCATGGCGTCGTGGGCACGTTAATCCTCTCCGGTCCTGTCTTTGAAGCGTTGGGCTCGTATCTCATGCACGAATTCCAGACGCAACCGCGCATTGGTAGTCGCAATTGGTCTGATCATGGGTCAGCTGCTGTACCTGAACCGTCCGTTAGCCATCATGGTGATGTGACGTGGACGGCGGCGCGGGTGCGGGCTGGGTTTGTGCTTGTTAAGTTTGGAGCTAAGGATTTTGAGACAGCTAAGCATTGGCTTGGGGGGTTGATTCGGGAGGAGGGAAGTGTGACTCGAGAATTTGGTGAGGAGGCGCTGTTTTGCCTGTGATTGTTCCTTGTTGGTTGGTCTTTCTTGATGGTGTCTTGGATTCTCTCCGCTGGTCGAGGGAATCAACCATTCATCCACGCACGCAAACGATCTATCTTACGGCCTTGGTTCTGCTTTTCCCTCCTATTTTCATTCTGAGATCGTCCGAGTCGGTCCTCATTCTGTTACACGCTTGTGATTTTGATCTCATTTACTGGAAGCATTTTGGCGTCGTTGCCGGCTTGTCGGCTATCAGGGCGTTGGGGCATTCACCTCAACCTGATTTAAGGATTTGATCTGCATTTATTCTCTGCAGAGCATTCGGTGCTGCAAAAACCCAAAATATGATTGCAGCGATACTTCACTTTCAATTGATCTTCATTTTGATATCATTTCTTCGACTATCAAGCAATAATCATTAGTATCAGGATCCTGGTCTCCAATGATAATAGAATAGAATAGATTGCCAGATATATAGCAAAGAAAGGAATATCTATCAAATAGCACAACATAACAGTAAACAAGGTATCATAAATCAGCAAAAGTCAACGCCCCCGATTCATAACATAAAAAATCATAACCAAGTAGTTTGATCTATAATCAAAAAGATCAAGGCCACCAATCAAAAATCCTCGTATTCCACTCCCCCTTAGTAGCCCCAACAAGATCATCAACGTTAAGAACATCAACACCCTCCAATGCCAAAACCCTCCAAATGTGATTCCTCAAACTCCGCGGCCAACTCGGCAACGCCCAATACCGAACCTTCAACCCATGCGCATGCGCAATCCGCACCTGGCGGCGGATTAGCTCCATTTGCTTCTGTGTGAAGTGAAACGGCCAAGGGAAGCCGATCGCGGCGCGGAAGGAGATGGAGGCGTAGAAGCTATTCGTGGCGTTGAAGGTGGTTGCTGTTATTTCGTAGGGCATGCCGCTTTGGCCTTGGCCTAGGTCGTTGGTGTGTTTGTTTAGGGGGTTTGATTCTGGTTCTGGTTCTGGTTCTGAAACTGAATCTTCGGGGAAGTCAACAAGTTTGTCGAGCGGCGCGTCGAAGAATATATCCCTGTAAGAGGGGTCTGCATCGATAAGGTTGAACGGTGCATTCCCCGTCCCGACAACGGTAATAGGTCCAGGCACGATCTCCTCGCCATTGAAATGAGTAAGATAACCACGCTCACGCAGTGGAGCAAGCTGCTCCACGACAGCGTGATACGTCGCCGGACCGGCAGTTTTGAAATCAATCAGGAAAATAAGCGATTGGTCCGGGTCCGTATCGAAGACGCCGTGGGCCGGGGTATCGAGTGACGGTTGGAACTCCGTGATAGGGTTCTGGCGCTCGAGAATTGAAATGAGTGGATTGACGTACATTGACTGCAGGGTGCGTTCGCGCGTCAGGCTTGAAGTCGTATGTCCAACGTAGAGCTCGTCATCGAAGAGCCAGACGTCGGCTTCGACGCCGATACAGCCCGCTTGTAGGGCGGAGTATAGTGGGACGCGGCGCCAGTAGTCGTTATGGGAATGGCAGGCTACTGGGATGATATCACGGGAGACATCGGTTGGCCAGCGGGTTGTGTCTTGGATGCTGGTGTCATTGGTGCTTGAGAGCCAGTTTTTGGCTGCGCGGTCGTATTCATCTGGGAAGAATGAGAGGACTATGCCGCAGGCTATCGAGACGAATTGAATTATGCCTCTGTGGTTCAGTTATAGTTAGTGAGTTGTTCTATCTGGGCTTGTAGATTGACAGCTTCGAAGCGGTCAGGATTAGGTTGACTCACAGCATGACGAGGATCCCCACTATGGTGCGCAGTAGACCGCGCAGGAATCGTGAGCGACAAGATCGCTTCTTGTGGGTTGGCTCTTCGGAGAGGACGTCGTCGTTCGGAGATGAAGTCCAAGCTGAGCCTGTCGATACTCGACGCCATGGACGGGCTGGGCGCCCCACTTCGTCGCGAACAGGCTGGACGTGCACATTGATTTTGTTTGTATCTTCTGACTCTGGGTTGATTGAGTCTGTGTAGGGTTCAAAGTGAGCGTCCAGAGAGGTGGAGCTATTCTGCGGGGAAGGCCGGAAGCTCATAGTGAGTCTTGTAGAGAGAAAAGACTATGGGGAGAGAGAGAGAGAGAGAGAAAAGACAGACAAGACTGGAAGCATCGAGATTAAAACCCTCACATATAACTTACTATCAAAAAGTCCCACTCAAAAAGGTGAAAAAGAGAAATCAGCCAAGATCTCGCAAGGCTGAGAACATGTTGCGGAGGCGCCGGAAATGATTGGCCACAACTGCAGACCAGGAACACTTGGATGTCTACTCTGTATGTATACACATGCTATGATGCTGGGCTGGGATAGGATAGAACAAAGAAAAAGCATATTTCCTGGTGATATCTATATACAAGTACACAATGCAATGCTCCTAAACACCCACGGGGTACACTTTTAGGGAAAGATCTACTCCTGCAACGACTTCACGTAAGTCACAGCACGAGCCTTGACCTCCTCAACCATCTTCTCATCACCATTATCAGCAGCCAACTTCTCCTCAAAGGCAAGCCACTTCTTAAAGAGGAAGCGGGCCTGCTTAGGCTTGAGCTTCTTGCTAGCGTCAATGCTAACACCCTTCTTACCGCTCTGCAAGCCAAGAACCCGCTCGAACAGACGGCGTACCTGCTCCGCATCGCCGACCTTGATTTCAAGGTCCAGCAGCACGTTCCACAGATCAATGCGCTTGGGGAACGAGGACAGCAGGCCTTCGAAGACGGTTCGGCCGCGCTCCACGTCGCCGTTCTCCGAGCGGAACTCGAGCTGGCCGAACTTGGATGTTGTCTCGATGTGCGTGTGGGCCGGGAGGGACTGCAGGGCACGCGGGAGGAGAGCTCGGGCGCGGTCGGGGGGAGTTCATCGTGTCGAAGAGGAAGCTGGCGTAGTTGTAGAAGAACTTGGGGGATTGAGAGGAGATCTTCTTCTTGAGAGCCTCGTAGAAGAGGTCACTTGCTTTCTGTAAGGTAGTTAGTATATGAATTGATGTTGATGAGGGGTGAACGCATACCTGGTTCTTTCCGGATTGGATGTAGATACTGATCATGCGCTCGTAGATCTCCTGGGGCTCGTTGTACTGGCAAGCACGCTTGAACACCTCCTCGAGACTGTCGTCATCACCGTAGGTGTTCTCCATGTTCAGGAGCGCAACCCAGATGTTGAGCTTCTCGGCATCCTGGCCCATGGTGATGGTGCGCAGGGCACGCTCGGCAACGGAGCGGGCCTTCTCGACCTCGCCCAGCTCCAGCTGGAAGGCCATGTACTGCAGCCACAGCAGGGAGGAGTCCGGCTCACCCAGGAGAAGACGCTCGAAGTCAGCGACTGACTGCGGGCCGTTGGCGTCTAGGTCGCCGGTGCGGTCGACCTGGATCTCGGCCTTGCGGTTCTTCTTCTTCTTTTTGGAGTCCTCATCATCACTGTCTGAGCGAGCGGCAGCATCGTCCTTCTGGACATTGCCGCTCCAGTCGAAGCCGCCCGCGCCGAGGCCGCCAGTCTTGGAGGGCTTGGCGTCTTGCATCGGCACATCCTCGTCGTCGGATTCTTCCTCCTCTTCCTCACTGTCGTCTTCAACATCGACGCCTCCCATGGACTCGTCGTCATCGTCCTCGTCTTCGCTGTCATCCTCGCCCAGCTCGACACCACCAAGACCATCAACGCTCATTTCGTCCTCATCCTCGCTGTCGCCCTCCTCTTCATCTTGGAAATGGGAAGCCTTCAGCGAGAAGGAGATCTTCTTGGCGGCGTGGTCAATCTTGATGACCTTGGCCTTGACAACATCGCCCTCATCGTACAGGGTGCGGGCATCCTCGACACGCTTGTCAGCCATCTCACTGCGGTGGCAGAGACCGCTAATGTTGGCAGAGCCGTCAACGACGATGAAAGCACCGAACTCCTCAACCTTGCGGACCTTACCGGTAACAATCTGGCCAGTCTTGAGGTCCTTGAGGGTGATGGGAGCCTTGAAGTTGGGGTCTAGAACAGACTCCTTCAAGCTCATCTGCAGCTTGCCTTGCTCGGCATCAACGAGGGTGACCTTACCCTTGACCAGCTGGTCGGGCTGGAAGGAGTCCTTCCATTCCTTCAGGTAGGAGTCGGAAAGATCGGACACGCGCACGTAAGCGGTGACGTCGTGGCTAAGGGCGACAAACAGACCGGAGTCAGTGACACGTTTGACGAAGCCCCGGATGACATCGTTGGGTTTGACATCCTTGAGAGAAGAGATCTCGCGGTCCTGGACGGGCAGCGAGGAGCTGAGAACCTTGGAAGGACGTAGCGACAGAGAAATTTTCTTGGTGGACTTGTCAACGGCTATGACACAGGCACGCAGAACCTCGTTCTTATTGTGCACGGTAGGGTTGGCCTTGGAATAGTCATCAGCGAGATCAACCAAGTTGACCGCGCCGACGAGGGCCTCGCCGAGCTGCATGATTACCTGTCTCTCGGTGACCTTGGTAACACGCCCGGGAAGGATCATGCCAACAGAGATATCACCAAAGGCGAGCTTGTCGTAGCCCTGCTTGGCAGTGAGGTTGAGGTGACCCTTCTCGGCATCGACAGCAGTGACCTGTACTTTGAGAGCAGAACCAATGGGGAAGTTCTTCTCAACATCGGTCAACAGAGACAGGTCATCCGAGGCATCCATGAAGCGCAGGCGACCGCGGACGTTGGGGGACAGGTTGACCCAGAGGCAGTCATCGGCAACGTTGTTGACAAAGCCCATCCAGGAAGATCCTACCTGGACCTGCTCCATGTTCAGAGGGGCGGGGTTGGAAGCTTTCAAGTAGCTAGGCTTGACAGAGAGCTCGAACACAGGGTACTTGCCGGAGCGGTGGCTGATGGGAAGGAACTTGTGGTTGCGAGCATCGTGAACACCAAGAATTCGGGCGGACAGGGTCTGTTTGGCCTTGAAGAATCGCAAGGGCTGCTTGCGGTCCTTGATGTCTTTCCAGTCATCGAAGATCTCGGAGACATCGATACGACCCTGGAGGTTATCCGCCAGCTGGACGTTGATCTGAGTGGCCTTGATGGAGACAACCTTACAATCGACGATTCTGCCGAAAGTGAAGTCGGACATGGTCTTGATGTTGCTGTCGATGGGGTTGGCAACGGTGTCGTCGGTCTGCTGCTTAGGTGCCTTCTTGGAGGCGACAGGTGCAGCATCTACGGGCTTCATGCTCAAAATGAAGCGCTTGAAGTCCATATCCACAGATTGAACATTGAGGGTAAGAGTCTGCGCCTTCGACAGGCCGTAGCGGGGCTGCTCGAGGTTGGCGTCGTCGATAAGACGTCTGGGGAGCAAGCCGGTAAGACCACCAAGGAACTCTACAAAGACACCATCGGGAGTGATGTTGCGGACAAAACCGGTGACGGTGGAACCCTCTTGCACCTGCTCAAAGCTGCTGGGCATAGACTTGGACTTGGCGGCCTTCTTCATGCTGCCTCTGCTGGAAACCTTGATGAGACGGTGGGCGCGCTGGATATCGAGAACCAAGAGATCGTTCAGCTTCTGGCCGACACGGAGTTTGGACATCATCGAGCTTTGCTTGGAGGGGCTCCGTCAATGATATGCTGGGAGTCGATACGAGCAATGAGACCAGACTCGTCGAGCTTGAGGAGAACATCCTCGTTGGACTTCTCGAAGACGGTTCCGCTAACAAGATGACCGGGGTGAAGAGTCTCAAAGGCCTTGCGGTACTGCTCAGTGAATGTAGAAGGATCCTTGCAAGAAACGGTGAGTCTGCCGAGGGCGGCGTCCACACTCAAAGCGTGCACATTGAGGACCTGTCCCTGTCTGAAATGCTGGGCAGGGTCCTTAATGTAGGCCTCACTCATCTCGGAAACCGGAAGGAAAGCACGGACGTCACCGTAGAATTGGACAACAGCGCCGTGGGTCTGAAGGCTGACAATGGTACCAGGGGACTGAGACCCAGGAGTGATGTCCTTATAGTCCTTCCAGATGGCAGACTCGCTGTTGAGCAAACTCTTCTTCAGGGTCAAGCGGATCTGGCGCTTCTCGACGTTGACGGAGAGAATCCTCAGTGAAAGCTTCTGGCCCTCACGGAACTTCTTCTCAGGGAACTGAAGCTGGGTGTCGGCGAAGTGCATGGATGGAACAAGACCAGTGATTCCATCGGCCAGGTTAATGATTAATCCGTCCATGCCATTGGCACCGATCAAGAGCTTCTCGACCTTTCCTTTGACGATGGCACCAACGGTGACATCCTCAACGCGGAGGAAAGGCTGCTCAATAACAGACTTCTCGAATGAGAGAAGGTAGAGGTTATCGACGGCGTTGTAACCGACAACTCTGGCCTCGTGGACAGCGTCGAGCTTGAAAGCACCGGAGGTTTCCTCAATGGTCTCGACCTTGCCGTCGGAGAGCCTTGACATGTGGACGAAACCAATGTGCTTCGTCTCTCCAATCTGAGCATACACACCCATACCGGGGTCAACCTTCACGATCTTCGCTTCGGGAATGATGGCGGAGATAGCAGGCGCCTCATCAGAGGAACGGGGACCACGGGGATCAGAAGAAAGCTTGAGGACGTGGTCGAGCATCGAGAAGCCAACTTTGAAGGGCTCGGCAGACGGGAAAGTAGAAACAATGCGACCCTTGATCTTGGCACCCATCTTGAACTTGTTCTCCAGGTCAATCTTGCCGTTGTTGGCACCAGACTGAACCAGATCGACGGTTGCGTCGAGCATTCCCATGATCTTTCCGATCATGCCGCTTGATGTGACTTCGGTAAGGAGGATTTCTGCGGCAGCACCGGGGAGGAAGGTGTTGATTGTGGGAGCCGAGCTGAGGTAGTTCGATTTCTTGATCGAGGCGGACGTTTGGAAGTTGGTGGACAGCTTGATGACATTGCCGCTGGGGTTCTGACCAGTGATCATACAGAGGAAAACAGATCCTTCCTTGAGATTCGAGTAGTCCACACGAGGATCAATCTCCTTGGAGGACATGAATCCCTTCACGTCCGAGCCCTCAATACCAAGGTCCATAACCACACCGTGGTCCTCCACGCTAACAACGGATGCCTGAACAGCCGAGTTCACGACGAGATCGGACTTTGTGAGGCCGGTGTTGGTTTGTCTGGGATCGATTGACAGCTCAATGTGCTTCTTGCTCCGAGCCTTGGGATCAGTGGGGTTGCCACCAGTGGAGACAACGAATGTTCGCAAATATTGACCCAGATAGAAGTGCTCCTTCAGATCGAACGACTCGTCATCCGAGCTGTCCTCATCGTCATCCTCTCCCTCATCATTCAACATCTTCTCAATCTTGTCCTCGAGTCCCTTAGACACGGCTGTAAGAGGGACGTATCCGGTAAGGTTATTGGGCAGCGAAAGGCCGATGTCGTGGGCGTTGATGCTCGAAACTTGACCGAGAATCATGGTACCAGGAACAAGGCGCTGCAACTGTTAGATTGAATGCGACGTAAAAGATTTTCCAGCACGTACCTTGAAGCTAAGGCCCTCAATGCGAACTTCTTGCTTTTCAGTCGAATCCTTGTCTGTAGACTTCTTGCCCTTTGTCTTCTTCTTCCGTGACTTCTTAGAGGTTGTGGTTGTCTCCTCATCCTCCATTTCAACGTCATTGTCGCTCTCCTCTTCGAAGGTGGTGGAGGGCTTCTTCGAAGGCTTCTGGGATCCTTTCTGCTCGAACAGAACATCCTTGTTGGCCTGTATCTGGATTTGCTTGCGCTCCAATGGGGTCAGGACGCTTGCACCACCACGAGGGAACGAAGGCTCGTCGTCGCGCAGTACCGAAAGCTCTGTGGCTTTCGCGGCAGTGGAGGCGGCATCGTTTTCCTTATGCTCTTTTTTGCTCTCCTCCGCTCCAACCTTAGCACGTTTTTGGGGCTGGCGAGCAGCTGTTTCCTCGGGGGCGTTCCCCTTGCGCTTGATTGGCGCCATAATTGAACAGGCAAAACCGAATCGTGCTCTGTTGCAGATTGCGGTTTGATACTCAAAAAAAAAAGATAAAAAAATCCGAGTCGCGGCAGAACCTTTTTGGCGGTGTAGGTTGGTAGAACGATCATGTGTCAGCAATGTGGTGCCTGAATATTATGGCGAACACTAACGTGCCGGAACGTGCCCTAACATGAAATAACCTCTGGCTCCAAACTTTGGGAGAGGCGTCACTATCCCAACCTATATTGCTCTATGTGCTCTGGTCCTACTATTAGTTTTTACAGCCACTGTTTATCTAGCAGAGACTTTAAGCAATTGTCTCTTTATCATATCCAGCAGAAAGCCAAGTGGTCCCCACCTTACGCCCGTACGGGAAGCAACTAGGTCTACATGCTTTTAGGACCAGAGTCTTGTTCAGCAAATTAATGTAGATTTTTTACTTATGGTAGATATCTGGTTTATGTACAAAACGCTTCCTGACGGGCAAAAAGTGGTCAATGGTGCCATCCCTTGCCAAAATTGTTTATAACGCGGCGGGTCTACCATGCCACTGTCCTTCAGATATGCTGCACAAATATACAAACTTTGAATGAGATGGAGATAACGGGGTAAAATGTCGTTTCCATATCTGAAGCCGATCCGTAATGATCAAGAACTCAGATTGCATTGCACTTATTCTTTTCTCATAAAGGTCCCGGTAAACCGTAAAAATGGTGTACCGGGTCTCCGAGTAGACCATCCTTTCCATTTGATCGGTAAACCCCAATAGCTCCTGGACCTGGGAAAATAGTGCTGACATTTGCGGGTTATTCGGGAGCACGGCAGGCTGTCCATGACTGAACATTTCGTTTCCCAGGCAAAGACAGACGAAGCCATGGGACTGGTGGATGCCAAGGCACATGTCCCTTGCTTTTTCGATGAGGGCAAGCATCTCACCCCAGGCCGTATAGCGGGTGAGCTTCGATTCCAGTACAGTTTCCTGCATTTCCCAAGTGTGGCGAAAATAGGCCACGGAGAAGGCCCGGGAATGAGAGGGTGCATGAGAAGGATAATCATCTCTTCTTCGACAGTGAGTTGATCTTCCTGCGGGGCGGTATGAGCGGCAAAAGCCTCGCCATGGAAATCGGACTCGACTGGCGTGGGCTCGGTGGGTTCATCACTAAGATCGTTATCTCATGGTAGAAGTGGCTAATAACACGCACGGGTTCTGCGTGATAGAAAATAGACTGCTTGCCCGGTCGGGCGCATGAGAGGACATGGTGAGTGAAGATGGTAAGTTGAAGATAAAGCGAAATCCCGTTACAACGACTCTTTACATTGAGAAACCTTGGGATTTAGGGGTAGTGCATGCAGAACGTTCCTCGTAATTTGCTTAGACATCTCTCAAACTCTGATATAGCTTAGTGGACTCATAGCCTGTCGACGTAGACTGGGAGAGAGAAGGGAAAACGATGCTGAATTCTTTTATGGAAAGGAAAGAGACTAAATAGCCTCAGAAACCAAGGCAAACAATGTAGTACGGCGCTTATGGCAAACATGTCCTGACATGCGGTGACCCCATTGGAGACTCAACTTGAGGAAGCTCTCAGGATTCTATATGCTCACGGAGCCGAGCATTGGGATCAGAATCTAGCCTTTTTCTTTGTGGCAATGGAGAAGTGGTGATTATTGATCTCAAGGAAGTTGAGTACCTTAATGAGCCTCAAGCTTGGGAACGCAGTATCAACTTGGGTAGCGTGGGTCATCTAACGAGCTGTGGCAGAGACGTCAGAGACCCAGGTCTTCTTCCGCCACCCGTTGTACCCTGGGCGACTCAGTCTGGTAATAATTACGACAAAAAGCACAGTGGAAAGGGCCCAGACCAAGGATCTCATACACGTAGATCTGAAACCGCCGACTTCTATCACGGTCCGAAAAGAAACAGATAGGAGTCGGTGGCTTTCAAGAAACTAGGAACTGGCGAGAGAAATGGACCAGGAGAAATTCAGAGCACAGATCAGTGGAAAAAGGTAAAATTGAAGTCCAGTCTTGCTATTTGAGCAATGGTCTCTTTAATAAATAATTTTTGCATCAAGAAAATGTTCGATTCGTTGCGTTGATAGGACCCTAGAGTCCATTGAACCGGTATACGTTTGACTAAACACACAGAAAATGCTCCTGGTATCTAGCCGCAAGAAATTTCAATTCAATAAGAATATTCGATTAGTGATTGTATGTTCTCGTCTGAATGTTACAGCAATGATGTGCTCCAGAAGCCCTATACTTCCAATATAAATAGTGGTATAGAAATACGCTGAAGCTTGCTAAGCTCTTTTTTTCTCAAATCTACATTGATAAATCACGAGCTTAAAACATTCTGAAAGCACCCTTCATCGTATTTCCTGATAAATTATGTAAATATCAGCCAGCATAGTTGATTGAGTGTGTGGAATTCCGATTGTTGACAACAAAAACGGGCCATAAACCGCCCCCACTCCGCTATGGTAATTTTTGAAGACAGACAAAAGTGGAATAGAGGAAAAAGATAGCGAATATAGATTCAATACAAAATAAATTAAATAGGAAATATCAATCTAACGTGGGATAAATTGTGAAGAGTTCTGGATTGGAGGGGTGAAATGCCTTGGACACGATCGCGTCACGTCGCGACACGAAAAGATCCAATCTTCCCCGATTCATCCCCTTAGCCGGCCCATGCACTCGTAGTTTTTCGTCTTTCTTTGCTCTCTTTCCTTTCGTCACACAATGGGCCTCTTCGATCTTCCGGAGGTGCCCCATTCAGAACCTGTCCTGCCTCCCCCAGAGCCGCCTTCATCCCCTCCGTCCATTTCCTCCGATACTGGTGGCCGCCGCAGAGCCAGAAAGCCACCGACGGTCACACCTCGATCATTCCGACGATTCTTTACCCCACGCTCTCTCCTGCCTACCGCAGATAATTCGACTACCGCATCTACCAGTCGCCAGGCCTTACGGGCCCTTACTTCGCCGGCTGTCAACCGCCTAGGTCCAGCATTCTCGAGAACCTCCAAGGCTGGCAGCACTAGAAGTCCCCACGATGGCTTACCCGAAGACTTCATTCGCACTCCAAGCAGGAAGCGCAAGAACTCGTTCTCTTCTGCCATCTCCCCTCTACAATCCTCGCCGCTGAAGAGGGTTCGTGTCCGGTCTCCGACGGGCGAAGTAGAACATGATATGACAATTCGAGATATCGACCTTCGCCATAGAGAAGCGACCCCTCCGAGTCCACCAAAACAATCCAAACCGGTGGCACCTGTGCGTCGTTCCAAGGCATTGCAAACCTCTGGCGCATTGTTCATGCGAACCGCGATGGGTTCTAGAGCAAACAGGACGACCCTGCGATCCAACTCTGGCGCTGGTTGGTATACACCACATAGCTTATCTGCTCGTTTCTAATCCATTTATTTAGGATGGCAAGATCTTACTTCCAACTTCTATTCTCAAAGCCAGGACCGTCACGCATGTGCTAGCTATGCATCAGAAGGCTCACCGGCCTTGCCGTTCTGCAATGCTTCATGTAACAGTAAGTCATGCAGGTCCTGACTATTGCAAACAAAATCTAACCCACAGGAAGCAAATTCGCTGGTTGCAGTTGGCGACGAGGAGGGTGGTATTCGACTATTAGACTCCTCAATCGACGAAGACGCCGGCTTCACTGATGCGTACCTCGGGTTCCGTCCGCACATGAACTCGATCATGGATCTTGAATTCTCATCTGATGACATGCTACTGGCCACAGCATCTGGTGACCAAACATCTCTTATTATCGATATGACAACACAACGACCCATTCATTGCCTATCGAATCACTCCTCCTCCGTCAAGCGCATCCAATTCCAACCGGCTTCGAATAACAAGGTTCTTGCTACATGTAGTCGAGATGGAAACGTCAACATCTGGGATCTTCGTTGCAAAGGGTTTGAACGGCCTGCATTGCAAGTCCAATGCTCTCTGTCCGAAGCCGAGAACCCCTCGACTGCTGCGCCACCGAAGATGCTATACCCGCACGTTCTCAACACCATTGGAGGGGCTCATGCCTACACAACTTCCCAGAAACCGGCAATGGACAAGAATGAAGTACCGCCCTTTGGCCGGACCGACATCACCGTGACCTCGCTCGCTTTCCTGTCTCCTGGACGTGAAAATCTCTTTGTCACCGCTTCCGAAGCTAGTGCAAGTGTGAGATTATGGGACTTGCGAACCGCACATAACAACCGCCGCGGTCGACCCGTGATTCCGCTGTCTACAACACAGGAGCCGGAAAGCCACGTGAAGTATCGACGCTTCGGTCTTACTTGCATGGCATTTGGAGGAGATGGTGCACGGCTTTATACTCTTTGCCGAGACAACACGGTATACACATATTCAACCTCGCACTTGATCCTCGGAAACGCGCCTGAACTTTCGGTCAATAACAACCGCCCACGTCGGACCGGAGGCTCTGACAAGGATGGCCTCGGGCCTCTCTACGGGTTCCGTCACCCTCGTCTCCAGGTCTCTACCTTCTACGTAAAGCTGGCTGTCCGCAAAGCGAATGGCGATCACCCGGAGATGCTAGCCACTGGAAGCAGTGACTTCTGTCCCATTCTATTCCCTACCGATGAAAGATACTTCAACCCCCTTGTGCAAACACCCCCTGAAAGTCCGCCCACTCGGACGTCCCTCTTCACCACCCGTTCTGGCCTGCGTCGCACAAACTCCGGAATTGGCTTGTCTGGACGTCTTGAAGACACAATTCCGATCCACCAATCGGGTACCCCTCTTGTTGAAGGCCATCAGAAAGAAGTCACTGGTATGTCATGGACCCAAGCCGGTGAACTTATCACTGTGAGTGACGATTACACCGCTCGCTGCTGGCGTGAAGGACCCGAGGCTCGTGACCTTCGAAACAGTGGTGAATCGGAGGGTAAGCGCTGGCAGTGCGGCTGGGCTGATATGAAAGACTCTTACGACGACGAAGACGAATGATCCATCCCGCTTCTTTTGTGATTTTTACTCTCAGCATTCTTCATGGCGTTTGGAAGTTTTTTTCCTTCACTGTTGGGCATTTCCCTGGCGCTTGGGAGGGCATTCTTTTTCTAGCGCAGCATACCCGTTGTTATTCTGGTCTGCACCCTCTCGGAACTTTAATTCTGTTCTTATTTGACTACTGAATCGAACGGTTTCCTACTTTATCAAGAAAATTGACTACTGTAATATATTTCCATAGTAGAAAATTGCCCCGCACATCCTTCTTGGGCAGGACGAGCCTATGAAAATCCCCGAATCATCCCTACCCCAAAAGGCCCTGGCAAATCATTAGCATAGTCAGAATTGCAATTATTCCATTGAGTCTAAAGATATACATTTCAGGCAAACTGCCCAACTAGAAGTCAAGTGGCCGATAAGAGATAAGGGCGGTCGAACTTCAACCTCGAAAAAAAAGTTGCCGCTGAACTCCAACCCAGACTTAACACTACAAGAACACCCACAATGCCTCACAAACACAAGAGACGCGGAGAGGCTGACAAGTCGTGAGTACAAAGAATACATAACTCCTGGTTCCAAGTCTAACGAGTCCTCACATCAGTCTCTTTAACCTGCCACCCTCGGAGATCGCCAAATCACTCCCAGTCCGTGACGCAAACAAGCCAAAGATAGGCAAAAACGGCAAGCCAATCAAGCAAGGCAACAAACAAGGCGACAAGAAGAACCAAGGCCAAGATCAAAACTCAAGCGCGAACAAAGCACCCAGCAGCCGGCGCAAGACCGTCTCCGAAGATGACACCCCGGCAGCGTTCCGCCGCATAATGCAATTCCAGCAAACAGGCCGGCGAGCCCCCTCCGGACTGGAAACCGGCGAGAACAAGAAGCGCAAGCGCACCGGCGCAGAGGCTACAACCGAGTCAAAGAAAAAGCCCGCACGAGGCGCAAAGGCCGAAGAATCCAAACCGGCCGCCGAGAAGACCGCAATGCCCAAGATCCTGCCAGGTGAACGGTTGGCCGAGTTTTCGGCCCGCGTTGACCGCGAGATGCCCCTATCGCAAATGACCAAGACAACCAAGTCCGGCGAGGCCAAGACCAACGAGCAGCACAAGCTGACGAAGCACGAGAAGCATCTGCTCCGACTGCAGTCCGGGTGGCGTGAGGAGGATAAGAAGATCCGCGAGAAAGAGCAGGCGGAGCGAGAAGAGCGCGAGGCGGAGATGGAGGATGAACTGCAGCAGTGGAAGGAGTGGGAGATTGAGGCTGGAGGCAAGGCTGCTAAGAAGCGAGCGGCAGCTGCTGCGGCACGGAAGAGTAAGAAGAAGGGGAAGAATGCTGATGGGGAGGAGGGTGCTCCTGATAGTGGTGATGACGACCCTGATCCCTGGGCGAAGCTGAAGAAGCGTGATCAGGAGCGGAAGAGGAATCCGTTTGATGTTGCGCCTGCGCCACCGTCGTTGATTAAACCTCGGGAGATCTTTAAGGTGCGTGGTGGGGCTAAGGTTGATGTTGCCAATGTGCCTACTGCTGTTGGTAGTTTGAGACGGCGAGAGGAGTTGGCTGGTGAGCGGAGGAATATTGTTGAGGAGTATCGTCGGTTGATGGCCGAGAAACGGCAGTGATATATACAAACGAGGACGGAGTTATAGGGCTATAGTTTAATGTATCTACTTTTGAGAGATCTGTTCATATGCAGTAGCAGTGGAAAATGAGATTTCTACTGCTGATCGTCTATTTCACATCATATTACTGCCTTTTTTGATAATTGGAGTAGTCAACACGCGATCGGCTTTAGTGACCGTGACCGTCATCTGCCTTTTGCTCGGGATCCAGCTTGATGATAGTGTCAATGCGCATGATGGCTATGCAAGCCTCGACGGCACTCTTGAGCTGCTTGACCTTGCTCATGCTGGGCTCCAAAACACCCGCCTTCAGGGTGTCGTGAACCCGACCCTTGGACAGATCCAGACCGTAGTTGCGGTAAGTCTTCTTCTTGGCGATGGCCTTCTCCTCCTCGTTGGCATCGCCGTCCTGCACACGCTGTGACAGGGCGTGGCGAACCCGGAGCTGGGCGACAAGCTCGGATGAATCCTTGGCTGCGTTGACTGCCAGAGTCTTAGGGATGACGAGAAGAGACTGTGCGAACTCGCCGATGGCCAGTTGCTCACGAGAGCCCTGTAGAAGAGACATTAGAAATCATATACAATAATTGAAGTCGCGGCCAGTAGAACTTACCACTGTCACTGCGAATTCCTCAAGGTAGATATGAAGTGCTGTTTCCACGGCTCCACCGCCAGGAACGATGCTTCCGCTCTCCAGAGTCCGCTTAATAGCACAGAGAGAGTCATGCACAGAGCGCTCCATCTCGTCCAAACTGTATTCATTGGCACCACGGAGAATAATGGAAGCGGAGTTGTGGACCTTGGTGCCCCTGACGAGGATGCACTCATCGTCCGAAATCCGTTCTTGCGCAACCTCCTCGGCGTGTCCAAGGTTTGATGCGTCGAACTTCTCATCTCCGTTGAGGTCAGACAAGGTGCTGACCAGGGTAGCACCGGTAGCCTTGGCGATACGGCGCAAGTCCTCCTTCTTGCAACGGCGAACTGCCATGGCTCCACGCTCGACAAAGAGCTTGAGAACCATATCATCAATACCCTTTGTCGTAAGGACGACATTGGCACCGGACTTCAGGATCATCTCAACACGCTCGAGAACAATGCCCGACTCCCGCTCACGGATCTTCTCCAATTGATCGGGGTCCTCCACTGTAATCTGAACACCAAGCTTCATACGCTCCTTCTGCAGGTTCATATCCAGACAAGCGATCTTGGCGTCGGTAACATGAGTCGTCATAGCCTGAGAAGCAACGGTGCAGTTCAAAGCATAGCCGTTCACGAGAACGGATTCGGTACCACTCTTTCCGTGGGCCTTCAGCAGGTTCACAGCCTTGACGGGGTATTTAACCTCGCCTCTCTGGTTGACGGACTTCACCTGGAGCATCGCATCCACACACATGTTCGCAAAGAAGTCAGAGTCGGAACCGAGAATCTTGCTGGACATGGAAGTCTTCGCAATGTTGACCAAGCTATCCCTTCCAATATTATCCACCTTCGTCGTAATGTTCTCGTTCATATACTTGACGGCTTCGCGCAGGGCAAGACGGAATCCTGTGATGATGGTCGTGGGGTGGATTTTGTTCTTAATTAACTCGTTTCCTCTCCGCAACAGCTCTGCGGCAATAAGAACGACAGAGGTTGTGCCATCTCCGACCTATTGAGATTTATGATCAGCAAGTGCCTGAAGGGTTGATGCAGAGACCCATACCTCCTTATCCTGTTGCTGGGCCAGATCAACGAGGATCTTGCCTGCAGGGTGCTCAATATCCAGCAAAGACAGGATGGTAGCGCCGTCGTTCGTCACAGTAACATCCTGCCAAATATTAGAAGCTGTAACAAAGCTCTGCGGGGTTGATTTGTTCCCATACCCCTATGTCGTCCACCATCATCTTGTCCAAACCGGAGGGACCGAAAGAGCTCTTGATGACATTTGCGATGGCCTGAGTCGCCAGAACTTCAAAGAGTTAGCTACCGGTCCCGAGAAAAGCGTATTCATTCAAGAAATCGACATACCAGTCTGCTCACGGACATCAGCACCGGTGATTTTCTGCCCACCCAGGACTGTGTGCGAGGTTTGTCAGTTCATTGAAAATAACAACAGTCAATCGGATAAATCTCACAGAGTGTGTCCGCATTCCGCGGTGCCTCAAAGATGCCTGCCATGATAACAGACGAAATAAAGTGAGCTATTCGAGTGCGATGGCAGAGCTGTCTGGCTTCGGGGGGGTGCTGTGGGCACTAAAAGTTCTGCCAGGGCGGTGAGCCAATTTTCGATATCGCATCCCACTTTGAGAGGAGTCACACCCGACTTCGCTTCCCCCGCAACTTACTCCTGGTTAAGGCCTTGCTCTCTTTGTCTAGTCAGACAGTCGTTTCCTCTCTTTTACTATGGCTAGCCAGAATCCCACCGACGCCCCCGCCGCTGAGGGTGCTGCTACCCCTCAAGCCCTGCCTGACCGCACCGCGAACCCCGCTGATAACCAGACGGGCGAGTCGAAGAATGCCGCTAAGAAGGCCGCGAAGGCTGCCAAGCTCAAGGCCGAGAAGGCTGAAAAGAAGGCCGGTGCCAACAAGGGAGAAAAGGCACCTAAGCCCGAGGCCAAGAAGGCTCCCAAGAAGAAGGCCGAGGGTCCCCCTCTGATCGGAATTGATGCGAAGAAGGACACTGAGTTCCCCGAGTGGTACCAGCAGACGGTAGTGAAGAGTCAGATGCTGGACTTCTACGATGTCTCTGGATGCTACATTCTCAAGGTAAGCTGTGAAATTGGCCAAGATAGAGAGACAATGGCGCTAATCTATATACACTGTATAGCCCACTTCGTACTTCATCTGGGAGGAGATTCAGAACTGGTTCAACAAGAAGATCAAGAGCATTGGTGTCAAGAACTGCTCATTCCCTCTGTTCGTATCGGAGGATGTCCTGCAACGTGAAAAGGACCACATTGAGGGATTCGCCGCTGAAGTCGCCTGGGTTACGCACGCGTAAGATCACTTGAACCACGGTTATTGTATACACTAACATACCATATCAGTGGCTCCACCCCTCTCGAGAAGAAGATCGCCATCCGCCCTACTTCAGAGACCGTTATGTACCCATACTACGCAAAGTGGATTCGCAGCCACCGTGATCTTCCCCTGCGTCTCAACCAGTGGAACTCAGTCGTCCGCTGGGAATTCAAGAACCCCCAGCCTTTCCTCCGTACGAGAGAGTTCTTGTGGCAAGAAGGGTACTGCTCTTGTACTTTTCCCCTTACTGTAGAAAACATGCTAATTCTGATTCCACTAGTCACACCGCACACCTTACAGAAGCTGCTGCCCGCGAAGAAGTTCTCATAATTCTCGAATGGTACGCCAAGATTTATGAGGAGCTCCTCGCTGTTCCCGTTATTAAGGGCCAGAAGACCGAGAAGGAAAAGTTCGCCGGTGGTCTCTACACTACCACCGTCGAAGGTTACATCCCTGCCACTGGACGTGGTATCCAGGGTGGCACATCCCATGGTTTAGGCCAGAACTTCAGTAAGATGTTCGGTATCACTGTTGAGGATCCCTCTGCAAAGGAAGGTGAGAAGAAGGATCCTCTCCTCGTCTGGCAAAACTCCTGGGGTCTGTCGACCCGTACACTTGGTGTCATGGTTATGGTCCACGGTGACGACAAGGGTCTGGTTCTCCCTCCTCGTGTGGCCGAGACCCAGGTAATCATTGTCCCCGTCGGCATCACTGCCAAGCACTCCGAAGAGGAGCGCGAGAAGCTGATGGCCGAGGTCAACGGCCTCGTCACTGTCCTCGTTGCTGCCGGTGTTCGGGCTGAGAGCGACCTGCGCAGCTACTCCCCCGGCTGGAAGTTCAACCAGTGGGAGATGCGCGGAGTGCCCCTGCGCCTTGAGTTCGGCCCCGGCGAGTCCGCTGGTCACTTCGTCACCGCTGCCCGCCGTGACATGGGCAAGGATGGCAAGACCACCATCCCTATTCCCGAGCTGTCAACCGCTGTTCCCGAGCTGCTGGAGACCATCCAGAAAGATCTCTACACCCGGGCCGACAACGAGTACAAGACCCACCGCAAGCAGATCACCAACTGGGACGATTTCACTCCCGCTCTCAACGACAAGAACATCTGCGTTATTCCCTTCTGTTTGGTTGAGGAGTGCGAGGACCAGATCAAGGACATGTCTGCCCGTAAGGCTGAGGAAGACTCTGGCGTGGCCGAGGACGCCAAGGCCCCCAGCATGGGCGCTAAGTCGCTGTGCATTCCCTTCGAGCAGCCCGAGGGTATCGAGGCCGGTGTTACTCGCTGCCTGAACCCCCACTGCAGCCGCTTTGCCGAGAAGTGGTGCATGTTCGGTCGTTCCTACTAAGCCGGCTGATCTATCATCTTGCCATCGTCTGCATTTACCTGTCTCCAAATGATGTCGAGTTTTTTGTGCAATTGGGGAGTCGACGAAAGGACAAAAGCTGGTTGCATAAGGCTGTGGTGATGTGGAATATTCAAATGATACCTTTCCCCTTTGTGTTATACAGTTATGGGGACTTATGGAGGCGTTGCGCCATGTAGTTGAAATGAGAATATGAGAAGAAACGATCCTTTTTTTAACCTAAGCTGCAAGTTCATTCAATCCTGGGGTAGTAATAGCTTCAGTAGATCAGTAAAGCAGGACTTAGTCTTGTCTCTCTGCCGTCAAAAGCACCTGATATGTTCAGCGGACATATTTCTGAACTTAAAAAATGGAAGCTCATAGGAAAGACTTCTGATAATGGACTAGTAACCTGATTTCATCCCCGTGGACTATATTTTCCCTATTGCCACGAAGGAAACATTAACCGCGGAGAAAGTCTTGCTATTCTGAACCCATGCATAGCGTCACGTACCAAATCCTTACACTACTTGTCCCAATACCTCCAGGTATGATCTTATCGTCACTTCTGCCCAAAAAGAAACCGGGGCAGATTGAGCAGGTTGTCGTCGCTGTGGCTTCGGGTCACGATGCTAGCATCGAAACTGAGTCGTCGAGTAACAGTGCTTGCTATGCGGCGGGCCTCAATAGGCAGATTTATCATTCGTTGATTGGCTGAGAGTGTGAAGAATTCTTTGAACACGTTAGTACAGTTTTCACGTGAAGACAGGTGTTGAAGACAAAAAGTACCTGTGTGTACTAATTATTTAACCCAAGTGAGGCTTAGAGTCGGTGAGTAGCCCTCTGGCCGTAAACTCGCGGATTGAGTAAGCCGTCATCCTTAAGTTTCGAGGATCGAAGGAAAAGACTTACATTTCCGGGTCGTCTATGGCGAGGAAGTGTACCCTCATTAGTTCAGTTGGCGTCTAGTGGCTTGTAGTCGTTTCATAAACCACCTATTGGCGTCCCGCATATACCGCAACAATCTTGCGGACTGCGTGATGCTTGAGATATTTGATGTGTGACCCACGCTCCCGATCAATGATGATTCATTTGTCCCTCTTATAGTGTAATATACCCTCAGGGTCACCGAAGTTTGAGATGTGTGTCTTTTCTCCAAATATACCATGCCCATATCCTAGACATCTGGCGCGCTCAGTGAAATATATGCTTCAGCTTGTCAGCACTCTAACCATAAAGGACTTGTTTCATGAACTGACTATAGTAGGGGTGAATGAGAATACATTTGGAGATTCCCGAAAGCCCTCAAACCCGAAGGGAAAAGCTCTTTTTGGAAGTGAGCAGTCAACGTCTGGGATAAATATGACAATGAAGAATAGAGCACCTATTTATGAGAAAGAGGCAAACCAGTAGCACAAACATAGGTCCAGTCTTATGTGGTGAGCTAAGGACTAGACCAAGGGGGATCTGTAGCAGCTAAAGGTCGTCTTAGGGGTTAGGATATCACGTGATAGCAATACAGTACACAGAATAACAAAGCATTGAAAGTTAAAGTTAGCTGATAGAAGTTTTTATAGATATCTTCCAATAGACGAAATATACATAGAGAAAATATTGAATAAAAACAAACGCTTTGTTGGCTATAATACAGATTTGTAGTAAGAAGGAACAGTATGATAAAACTCCGGCCAGACTATGCAATCAGTATTGAGATAAAAAAAAAAGAAATTAGAGTTTTCCCATGGAGGAGGACAGGCAAGGTCCGTAGTAGAGCGAAAGAAAGGTACAGCGATGGGAGAGACCGACTTGGATGAATGTAGAGAGAGGGTATTGTAGACAGGAAATACAAGACCAAAATGGAATGTAAAGAGAAGGAATGATGAAAACGGATATGAGAATAGCGGCTTGGTATCCCAGTGTGTCGGAGAAAGACTCAAAAAGACTGAAAGGCTTTTGTATAGAGAGATAGAGAAAAAGCGCAAGTCATGAAAGCATCATTATCATGCGGAGAAAGCAAATATTTCCCGTACATTAGAAACGCGCCAGAGGAGAACAACTCTAGTATAGCTAGTAGGTCTCAACAGAGCGAGAGCCGCGAAGCTGCAACCGTGCAGGAGACAACGGCGAGAGACTGTTCTCATAGGCATTGGAGTTAACACCCCGCCCAGTACGCTGCGGCCAGTGCATGAGCTTCAGGGCCTCATCAGAGGAGGCAGCGTCGATCACATATCGAACATTGTTTTCGTCCACGCCTTCGACCTGCACGCGAGGGGGAGGCATGTTCACACTAGGGAGGTGGATGATATCGTCATCATCACTGTCTTCCTGCGAGTCACTAGCTGACGGAGTCGAGTGTGCTTGCATACAGTAAACTGTGCCTGGGGTGGAGGGCATATCTGGAGCAGCACGAACCATAGTAGCGAGAGTGCCAGCGGATTCTGAGCGGCCGCGCTTGCGAGAGGCAGCAGGAATCTTGGTGTTGGGGGCTGAGGTGGGGAGTTCGTTGCTTGCACGTAGGACATCCAGGTAGGTTATTGGTTCGCCGGCAATGAGTCGTGGGGCGATTTGTTCTTTGGGCTGGATATCAGCCAGGAAGCCCGGGCTTGGGGGAGGGGCGTCGGTGTGACGACGGCGGCCTGGGGAGCCGACGACCTTTCGTCGGATTCTGTCGTAACCGACGCTGGATGAGATGCTGCGGCGGGATTCGGAGTTGCGCTTGTGTTTCCTGAATGAGCCCTTGTTTGCTAGCCGCCCCTTTGCTGAGGCATTCCGACTGAGGAGGCCAGGCTCGGGATTGGAGCCGGCGAACCTGTCATTGTCTGGCGTGGGTGTGAATGGGGGTCCTGGGGCTGGCACGGGGACACGCCGGAATGCCTCGTGGGAGTTGATCTCGCGGACGATGGCATCTTGCAGAGTCTCGTATGTCGGGTGGGTGCCTGGGATGGATGTGAAGGATTTGCTGAACAAGTCCATCATTTCCGAGGCTTTGAAGCGCGGCGACTGTTTAGGGGGACTGGCTGGACTTGGAACGGGCAAGGGGCTGTTCATGACTTCCGCGATGCTGGGAGCCCGCTTCATACTGCCGGTTGATGGGGTTGGCGGCTGAATGGCACGGTGTGTGATCTTTGATCGTCCGTTAGAAGCCAATTTAGTGTTGATTGAGAGATCTCGAACGTTCTTCTTGGAGCCTGGCGCTGGTGGGGGTCCCGGAGAATGTGACCTTGATGTTGAAGATGAGCTGCGATTAATTGTAGCAGGTGATCGCGGCACCGACGGAGCCTCGGCGGCGCCTTCGCTATCGCCCATAGGGATGGGAATTGTTGGGCTGTCCGGGAGGGGTGTATTACTCCATCTCTTGCCCAGCTTATAGGCAGGGGGAATACCCAAGCGCTGAACAGGGCTCGGTGGTGCTTCCTCTTGCGGCACAAAGCCTTCGTCCGCTGACAGACTAGGTGCCGATCTTTGGTGTCGAAGGTGTTGGTTGGATGATCGTTGGGACGAAGTGCCAGAGCCATCGTCCCGAGAGGACTTTTCCGTCCGTAGGTTCTCTGCTGATGCCCATGTGGGCTTGCCAGGGTCACGCTTCCTGGCTTTGCGCCGTACGCTTTCTGGGATGCGGACTCTTCCAGGGGCGGCTGGAGATGACCGAGAGCTCAGATTTGACGAGGTGCGAGAATCTTTACTATATTTCGCAATGTTCCGGTCTGCTACATCCTCTTGGTACAGTGCAGCAAGAACCCGCGAGCTTGCAAGTCCATTTCTGTATTGGATCCGGAGGAACCTAGTCATGTTCCGTTCCGCGACATCTTCATTGTACGGGCTGGCAGGTTGAGAGACAGGCTCTGGTTTGATCGTCTGAGGGCGTTCTGTGGAACATATAGCATCCATCAAGTCGATATGCCGGCCATTCTGAGGTTTGGAGGCTGCGAAATCAGTGGCACCCGAAGGCGGCATTTCCGATTGAGAAGATGTGGGCCGCTGGAGGGAATCATGCAGATCTTCGAATTGTTTCTCAATCTGATCGAAATGATGAGCCACATCTAGTGACTGCGAAGCGCTTGACGGGAAATCCCCAAAATGACTTCGCGCAGGCGAGTCAACCGTCATGTGAAAGTAAGGGTCCCCCACCCGACAGCCTTCGAATCCAAGACTAGTCACCGGTCGAGACGGGTTCTTTTCCGCCTGGAAAAGTCTCTTCAAGGCACCCATCTTGAAGCTTCGAATGTGCTCAAGCGCAAAACCTGCGCGCAATCGGAGAACGGAACGCGGCGGTGCTCAGTATAGAGGGGCCACTGCGGTGACGTTGGGAGAAAAAGAAGGAAATATGTCAAGCTGACAATCAGTGGAGTAAAGAGACCTGGTCGTCATAAAGAATGGGACAATTTGATGTCATGGCATCACTTAAAGAATGGAAGACCGTCACACGGCTCAAGTATACATTTCATAGTGGAAAGGAGTTGGGGAAAGAAGAACAGAAAAGTCAACAAGAGCCAAGGGAGTCACTTCCTGGTCCAGTAGATGGCGTGCAGATCCAACACCTTTCTGTGCCTGGATCAGGGGAAACTGACCCGGTCTCCATGATCACAGCGGAGCCTGTGGCTGATGAGGCGGACGGTTCGCACGCTAAAAGTTTAAGAATACCCCATCGTGTCTCTCCCTTTGTTCATATCTTGCCCTGGGGATCACAGCTCGAGGCCCGAGTACATGTACTCGAGTCTTCACGACTACGAGTAACGGTCTCGTGCACGCAGGGCCTGCATTCGAATGGGGTCAAGCATGCAGCTAGCAGATATTTTGCCTCTGGAACAGCACATTCAGGCTGCATAATAGGCTGGGAGCTTAACAGAGTCGGGCCCCATCCGAGATAGGGGTCCACATGGGAGTTTTGTTGACAGGCGAGAACGCCAACATCGCCAAATTCATTTCATTGGAGGCAGCAGTTGTAAATTTCCTGGCAGTAGCCCAATTAGCGAGCCAGTGATAAATTTCAAATGCCGACGAGCACAACAAAAGTGGGTTGGTGCTTGAATTGTGGCATGCGATGGAGCCCCCAATTTCCGCACGAGTCGTCATTGGTGTGACGAGGTGATCGACACAAAATCGAGCCGTCTCGTGCTGGGGGAACCGCGAACCAAGTACCAATTTTGGAACGTCGGATGCCCGGAGTTCACAAAAAGCAATATATCTAGTAGCCTTGACTAGACCCTGCAAGCGTGACAGGGGTCAGCGAGAGACAAAGAAAAGCAGAGAAGCAGGAACGCAGAAAGCGACAAAAGCCAATTTTGGGGATCCCAAGTTCAACTCCGCAAAATGGCAAACTGGCCAACTCTCAGGGGCAAGTTGAAACACTAGTCGTAAGTCTATGCAAATGATCCGCTCGGATCCTTGGTTGTAGTGAGACCTGAGGTGCGATGCAGGTACATGTATGTGGATTCACGTTACATGTTTATAGTTCTTTAATCTCACAATGAAGATGCAACAATGTGTTCTTTACACGAACTCTTGCCCTTCGCTTCTTTAGATCGATCGATTCCGATTCCGATTTCGATTTCGATAAATGGGTCCGATCGTCATCACATTTTGACACCGCCGATTATTGGCATTTAACCGTCCGGGAATGTCAACTTTAACCAACCCCTTTTTTGTTCGACATGCACTTGCTTGGGTTCTTTTTTCTCTACGAGGAATCTGATAAATGTTTGAACTGACTAATGCGCAACTATTCATTCCTTTCTATAAGTTAACGTCAGTACAAGATATAGTACCGCATGTACTAAAATAGCCCAGGGGGAAATGAAGAGACACAAAAATAGGATCTAGACTAACAGCTAGTAAAACCTTACGTACTTTACTATAACCTATTACACTCTACAGTAATATGCCACTAGCAATGCTACATGTACATAGAGTACGATAAATTTAGCTCGAAGAGTACGCATTGAATTGCTACTCGTTATTCATCATCTGGTTCTACCCACCAACACGCCGGACGCTTTGTTTTGATCAGTCTACATTTAATGAACAAAATCGTTTGTTGTTTAAGCCTGCGAATGATTTTCTTGTGTAACAGCCTTCTAGCTTTACCATGTGATATTCTTAACATGACTGCAGTTATCTATATGACAACTTGATAGCAGTAGTGTGTGCGACTGCGTTCTGAGATGCTGGAAATATACTTGAATTGTCCTTTGATATATGGGAACTAGAACCCTTCGACGCAGATTTTGTCGGATATCACGGACGACTTCTATCGTTCAATCTTTTAATGTACCCGTCTTTTTTGTTCAAAATACTTTGTCAAACATTTAACCTTGAAACCAACTTCTATCAAAATTGATCTCTCGCCCCCGACAACGCTATATTCTTCTTTTAATTATACATCATGGTCTCGAAAGTTGAAGTAAGTCATCTTGAACAAGAGGTTATATAAACCCTATATATTTTTGCTTTGTCCTAGGATGTGCTAGCCAGTTTACGCTCTATAGACGTATTATGCTCCTGCTTAAAATGCTACCATGCGAGCAACGAAGTGATCGCCAATTTGAGCCTAGATTGAGCAACAAAACTAGCCATAGAGTGTCACTTACTTACTAGATAGCCCTATGTTAGGCTCCTAGCTGTGAACATAGTATTCACACATGTCTCTTGTCATGGTATACCGCAATGAACATCAACCCTAGTCCCGAGACTCAGGAAAGGAGCCCTGTTCTATGCAGGCACGACCCCGAAGGAGTCAATAAAATGAACGAACTCCTCCGTTCTGCATTTCCTTCGGTGAAAATTCAAGCACTGCTCTTCACTTTCAAGCTTTCATTTAAAACCACAACACGCAACCAACCCATACCAACCAGACTACCTACACTGGCTCCAAAGGCGGAGTACACTTTCTCTAAGGGTTAGAAGGACAGCACTAAGGCCCCTAGTCGTGGCGGCAAGGCAGCCCTTATGGAGGACACCGTGCTATTCCGCTAGAAGATCGTCGAAATTTCCAAGATCGAGCTACTCCTGATCCCACGTTGGTATATTATAAACCATGTTTACTAATCGTTTCTTAAGCTCAACTTTATGGCCGACGGTAGGGCTACGGGAACCACTACCTCCGCGGCTCGAAGCCATTACTACCGTCTAAGGGAGAAGATGATTAAGGAGACTAACGACGCTGCCGTGGGGAAGACGAGGCCGAATTAACCTAGGGCGACGAGGCCAATAGTGAGAAGAGTAGAGAGGAGGTAGAGATTGTCCTCAAGTAAATGGACGCGGGATTTTCTGCGGCGTTTTTGATGGTCCTCTCCTGTGGCCAGTGACACTCTTTCTATGTGCTTCAAGATGTTATCTCAGCGTTTCAGAATGCGACACTATGAGGATGTGATTCAGGACAACAGATACGCCATCGATATGATCTTGCAATTATGAGGCACCGAAGACATTGGCTACACAAGCAAAGCTATATTACCCCCCTTTCAAAATGGTGGAATGATCACATTTCAAGGCTTGAGCTTGGATGAGTACAGGTGTATCATGCGAGCTTTCTTAAACAACGTCCTCGCCATTTAGAAATATCATGGCGTCTTCCATTGTTGAATATCTTTCTTGAATAGACAGAGTAGGTAACTTCCTGGCACATGTACTGGGTACCTGTAAACTTCATTCATTCGTTATGTGATGTTTCTATCCTAGACTTGAGCAATAGACCTCTCAATGGATTCCCTCACAGCCTCAGCTAGAACAGTATTGGCTCCACGAGCCGCATCAACAGCACCATCCACCAAAGCTTCATGGCCTGTCCGCTCATCATCCTTCTCGAGAGCAGCTCTTGAGCTATCTCCCTTGAGCCAGAGCTCTGTGATTTCATCACGCGCAGGCATATATGCCACCACACAAGCAGACACAATCGAACGATGCTCCGCGGGATCCATGTCAAGCATGAGCCGTGGAGCTCCCGTTGAAGATGGGCTCGAGTCATCCGCCACCAAAGCAGCCACACCGCCTGAAACAAGGTCAAGGCAGTCAATGTGAGCATCCGCAATAGCAGCAGAAGCAGCTGTGATACACCCAGCGAGAACATTCATCATTCCCCACGAGGCGTCGTGCGAATTGGGAGCATCGCCCCACCAGCGGTCATCTTCTGCCTCGATGACAGTGATAGTGATATCTAGTCCACTCTTGGGCCACCGCTCAGCAATGATTGCGCCGCGAATGGCAGTCTCTAGATGTACGCCTAGATCACGCTCGCTGGCATCGCGAATATGCCCTTTCCTCTTGCGGGCGGCGAAAGGCGCGTACTTTACGTGTGTTGTGAGAACGAGGTTGGAGGAGAATGCAGCAGAACGGGGGAGTGGCTTTGGTCCGTGGACCGTGCACGCCAGCTTGAGTGCTGAGGAAGGTGGGATCAGAGATTTGGGATTGGAGCGAGCGGCGGCGAGGGAGGCGGATGGTTCAAATTCAAGGTACGAAGATCCCGAGGCGGTTGGGATCAGTCCCGTTTTCAAGACTGCGTTCGAGGTTAGCTGCGATCAAGCGGAAGCTTCTCAAGGTGCTCATACAGATTTTCCGTAGTTCGGCGGGCTGGCGCTGGCGCCGGGCACGGTCTGCGGCACCAGTTGAGGATTGCAGAACAGAGGCAAAGACCGGAGGTCTTGTGCCACCAGGTGGGCCATTGATACGTCGTCTGTCAGCCATTTTACGTGAATTGGCGCAATGCTAAAGCTGTCGAGAGTCGCGGTGGTTGAAGTCCCAGAAACGGAAATCTTGGGGTTTGCATGGTTTGTCGGCCCCACCGCCTAGCGTCTATGGTTTTTCTTGACTTTTCTGCTCTTCTCTCTTTTCATTCCTTTCACACACCTCCGTTTATCAGAGCCCTTCAAATGTCGAGGGAATTGAGCAGCATCTTCATTGATGCTTGGATCTTCATGCTTCACTAACACTAAACGTGAGTACCATTGTAACCCCCCACCTGCACTGTCTATATGACGAGAGAGATCCAACCTCCTGTTCGGCGACGAAAAATGGGCCAAGAACAACATGCACTACCATCTGACTAAAGACAACAACTTTCTATTGTTATCATTATTTACTTTTGTTTCTGCATCAGGGACTGACAATAGCTTCAGGCAGATTCAGAATCCTCAGTTGTCGCTGTCAAGTGTCCGGGGAAGCTCCGCGAAAATTTTCACTAACAAGGTAAGAGCCTTTTTTTTTTTTTTCCCTTT